AGAGAAGTGAGTCCACGAATCCAATTTATTCAAATTTGTCAAGGACTGTTTGAGAGATGCATTTGAATGGACTCTTTATAAAACAAGTTACTTGAAGTTCAAGGCATGATCATTTGGTTTCTATTTAACTTTGAGTCATATTTAAAGTTTTAAAAAATGGTTTCAGACGATTGTTTGGGCCATGTACTAAGTTATTTGCAAGAAGTGTTTCAAGCCCATTTAGAAGACCTGTTAGGATAATGGTTTCAAGTTTTAAATTTGTTTTAATTGGTGATTATCCATATTGGAATTGTGCAAGCCATGTGGAATCATTTCCGATCCATGTTTCCAAGCCATAAGAGTTCTCAAGTCAAGATTGTCTTCTAGCCATTTTGGAAGTGAGAAGCCAAGTTTGCATTCAATTTCAAAAAAAAATTACAATACCAAGTTGGATTCAAAGTGACAAAGCAAATTCAGATATAACACAATTCAAGGATTTTTTTAAAGAAGGGTGGCAAGAGGAACTCAAAGACCATCACAAGGATCCATTGACTTGTAAAATTTAAAAATGGTCATACCAAAATCCAAAAGTCTACAAGAGGGACATAATACCACAAAAGATACAAATCTCATTCAAAATTCAATTTGAGATTACAAGTCCAATGGCAAGCCAAAATTTCAAGAGAATCATAAAGTGCAAAATTACATTTTTTGGAGTAATTACAAACGATCCTAAACAGTTTTTATATTTCTAAGTCAATTCATCCCTTACACCAAGTTTCTTGCAAATTCTAATTCATCTTCATGTTAAAGACTTCATGTTAGTCAACCTTGTGTCCATGCCTCATCTACAAAGAAATGCACCATTTCAAATTTAGTTCATTCAAATTCAAAAAAAATGTTTCATGATCTTTTAAACTAAAAACCATAGAAATTATGTTCATTTCAATCATGTCATTCATGTTACCACGTCATATTCTATTTCAATTCAAATAACACCTAAACCATATCAACCCATAAATCAATTCTAATTCAACTCACATCCTCAAAATTCAGAATTTTAAACACTATTCAAAATAGCAAATATGGTCCAAACAGAATGAGACAAACAATGCAGAAAAATTCAGTAAACAGGAATATGCATATTCACCAAAATTGAAAAAATATTTTTAGCATCAAAAGGCATCAACAAAGATGGCTGGAAAACATAGGTTTCAAGCACAAACAAACAAGTCAGTTCAGAGGTAGCAGAAAGAGTAGGAAAGTTCATAAGGTACAACAGGGAGAATTTCATAGTTTATCAAAGTTGAAATTTGAGCATAAGAAAGCAGTAACAAACATTCCCAAAATGAAGATTCTACAACAAATCAAACACAATGAAAACCATAAGTTTCTACTATAAAAAACTGAGTGATTCCTCAGCAAAAAAAAGGATTTGGAATGGGAGAAAATTTTTTTTGAGAAAGAACAACCCAAAAAAATATCTCACATAGCATACAAGGAATTACAATTCAACAATTTTAGAGTTGATAACATACAATTCAAAGTAACTAGTCATTTGAACTCCTCCATTAGCAAAAATAATATTATATCATTAAGGTGTATAAAAAAGGAGAAACATAATTTTGGAGGCAAACGACGAGTAAAAAAATTATAAAAAATTATTAATATTAAATATTTTTAAAAATATTTTCTTAATTTAAGTTATAAATAAAACTAGTTATAAATGATTATTTAATAATTTAGTCACTTAAAAAGGCAACAAATAAGAGAGTCTTTTATTCCACCCCTTGATACTCTTCAGCACCTAATGGAATTTCTTTTATGCCCGTTACTTTCGGAGATACACATCCGGACGCACTTTTTTTTTTCCCTTTACGCTGGATGCTTCTAGAGATATATCTACGAAAAAAGTTCCAGAGATGCAACTCCGAAATCTTATCAGAACAAGTTTTAAAAAAAAATCAAGTTTTGTTGGTCGTAGATGAAAACTAACTGTTACAGATGAATATAAAATGACATACACCCGTAAATAAAATAATATGATGTGTGTGTGTGTGTGTGTGTGTGTGTGTATATATATATATATATATATATATATATATATATATATATATATATATATATATATATATATATATATATATATATATATATATATATATATATTATGTATAAAGAAGTAATATGATACATCGATGTCATAAAAAATATAGTACATCAAAAAAATATCATAGTCACTTCTTGATTGATATATGTACCAGACAGAAGATATCGTCCAATGTGATAGTGAGCTCACCGTATGATAGACGGAAGGAGGACGTCTCAGGGTGCCATCTTTCTGCAAAGCCCGTCAACATCCCATTGTTGATCACGCTATAACCGATCTCACAAAGATCCTTAAAACCAGAGGCGACAAGGACATCCTAGAACCAAGCCTCATGTGGCTGCTTCAAAGATAATATCTTCCGCCCGTGGTTATAGAACCTCTGCGGAGGACGAGTCTTAAAAATTCCATAAATAAGAAAAAATATTAATAATAGACAATGATACAACTTATAATTTTCCAATGAAAAGAAAAAGAAACAATATGAGTAATGTTACCTTTCCATCACAGACATGTCTGGCAGTATGGTCGGCATACCCTATCAGTAAGGACATATCTGAGGGACCCTCTAGGAAACCTTCAAGCTCATCGTCGTCGTCACCAGCATCATCCGGTGGTGGGTCATCACCATATGGAGGTGGCACCATATCAACATTAGGAGAAGAACCAGGAGTATCCCGACGAGGCCTGCGGAAGGCCGGAGCCTGTGATGAATCCTCAGTTGAATCCCGACGCCTCCGGAATGAAGAAGTAGATGGTGGGGTAGAATATGAGGTTGAGGGAATGTCCTGAGCATGCGATGAAGAGAGATGTGCCTCAACTGTATGCCTCGGTAACTGTAGTCTGGTTCCGCTCGCGTCTCACAAATGCATGTTGTGAAACCCGTCCAAGTTGCAATCTATCTTCTCTATCTGCCATAATGTCTGCAAGGTATAACCAATATAAAACAAATTAGATACAAATAAATTAAAAAACAAAAAACAAAAATAAAATTAATATTTTTTTTTACTTCTGAATGTGAACACACGAAAAATTTCCGTATATGTATCTATGGAAGAAGCCATAATTCAGAAAGTTTGATTTGTTCCGGAGATAGATTTACGAAATTGCCCTAACGTTAATTTGTTACGTAGATGTAGCTTCGGAACTTCCTGCAACTCCAACAACAATGTCAATGGTGCCCCCTTCCCAAGAAAATCAATTTTTTGAACCCCTGATCGTCCGTTTAAGCCAACAAATAATACTTACATTGTCTCTAAACTATGTGTATAAAACTATCTAATGATTTCTATCCATAAAACTATATTCTAACTCGTTTATGAGAAATACTCGAAAATACCTTAAAAACTAAAAAACTTACCGATTATATCAAGCTTTCAACGAGTTAGAGTGTCTTGATCATTGAGATGAATGCTCCTTGTCAAACTTGATTGAAAACAATTAAGTTTTGTGAAAAAAGATTTTATTTTGAAGATTGGAAGAGTTTGGTGAGTTTGAGAGTGAGAAGTTGAAAAATGAAGAATAAGAGAAGAGAAAAGATTCTAGCGTGAATATATTGTAATTTGTTTCGAAACTATATAAATAGAAACATTCCTTAGATGTAGCTTTGAAAAAAAGTACGTTCGGAGATACATCTCCAAAAACGGAGATATCTTTAAAAACACACATACTGTCTAAAAATCTCAAAGAAAGAGATAGAAAGTTTTTCAAAATAATTATAAATTGGATAATACTAACTTATAAAAATTAAATACAAAAATAATATCTTAAAAATTCTACACTATTTTTAATAAAAATAAAAAATTTAATATTTTGTTATGTTTCCAATACAAAATTTATGTAAATGCATTTTTTAACTTATGTCCCGGTACAAGTTATTATTATCCTTATAAATTATTAAAAACCCTAAATTTACATGGTTTTGCTGTAGCGGCAGCACCTTCTTCCCACGGTCACACCCTAAACCCGTGCAACTTCAGTCCATCAAGCAGCTCAACCCGGCGTAGGTCCACATTCGGTCCGATCCGGTTTATGAATAATTGGTAAAATACTAAATTATACTACAAGTCAAAACCACGTCGTTTCGCTTTTGAACTAAGTCCCAACTCTACGGTACCCTAGCTGCACTTTCAATTTTCATCCATCTCTCGCCGGAGCACTGTGCTACCTCCCTCCCTCCCCGAACCCCCCTTCATAAGAGTTTCAAATAGCACTCAGGTAAGTTCGTCTCATATACTTCTGTTGCTGTGTCTGGAATCAAAAGTGCTCATAAAATGTCTCTAATTGCACAAATCAATTTGTTGAACAGTTTGATTAATTACCTATATTTTTAAACATTGTTTCGTTACAATCGCTGGCTCTGTCTTCGCTGGTACCTTTCTTTTTCTTCCCGTATTCTTCCTCCATTCTTCTTTTCTTCTTCCTGTACAAATTATCTAAATCAATATTTTCCTCTGTTTTATTGGCAGCATCTAGCACCTGTTTATTTAAACTAATGCAAGGTTACTTTGTTTGAAGAAGAAGAATAGTTTGAATCTTATTTCTTAATATAATAGTACACTGTAAGTTTGAATTTTGAGAAGTGATGTTTTAATTAAATTTAAGACTTGTTCATGTTGAATTGATTAAGAGTTTTGGATTAATCCTTGTGTTTTGATAGTTTGACTTATGAATTTTTATGGGTATTATTGAGTTATTTGTTTGATTTATGTTTATAGTTATTATTCATATAGTTTGTCTAAAAAATAATTAAATAGTCGTCATCTCGCCGCCATCCCATTTCTGTGGTTGGCCGCTTCGCTATGAGGGATTGAGATTGTATAATAATTGATCATTTTATTTGTTACAGACACATCCGGTGCCAGCGTTGTCTATCATACTCAAGTGCAACTGTGCAAACATACTAGAAGGAACCATGTAAGTGCAAATGTGGCATTCATTCATGTTAGAATTAGTAATTCCAAGTAAATTGAAGAAAATGATAAAAAAAGAGAATTTTTTTTTGAGAATCTGAGCGATGTATATTCAAAAATTTGAAAAGTAGGTGTATGAGTGAATTTGAGTGGCTGTTACAGCTGTTAAGATGTATATTCCAAATTCTGAAAAGTAGTTGCATGAGTGGCTGTTACAACTGTTAAAAACAGAATCCGACTGCTACACAGCTATTATGCATTGCACTTTAGTGAAATTAGTTAAGAGGTTAACAGAAATATATTTAGGACCCAAGGCCCAAAGGCCATTCCCTATACAGAACATATAACATAGGGCAGAAATTTAGAAAGAAGCACAAACACCACATATACCCTGAATCAGAACCAAATATGTTAAATGACTTGGTTTTTATTGGTGTGTTTCTAGGTCGAGGATATTGGTGAAGAATCTCCCTAAATACGTTGCAGAGGATCGACTAAAAGAATTATTTTCTCAGAAAGGAGAAATAACCGATGTCAAGCTTATGCGTACCAAGTATTGTTTCTTTCCTTAAATCATAAAATCCTTATCCCGATCTTCATTGACACATGTTTAGAATTTTAATGCTGTGTTGATTTGCTGGTTAGCGCAGAAATGGTAAAAGTCGACAATTTGCTTTTATCGGATTTCGTACAGACAAGGAAGCTCAGGAAGCGATTAGATATTTTAATAGATCTTACCTTGGCACACTTAGAATTACTTGTGAGGTTGGTTTGTTATTCCATTTTTTTTCTTAACTTCTTTCACACTAGTATATTATCTTATTTATCTTATTTTTATTACTGAAACTGAACGCCATAAAATTTGTTTTGCCTGTTCTCATTAAACCAAGTAGGAGGCTAAAAAACACGGTGATGCAAGTCTTCCTCATCCGTGGAGTCGACATTCAACAAAAGTAGACAATAAAGTGATCCCTACAGATGCTAACAATCATGCTAAAGCTAAAGGGCAAGGAGACTATTCTAAGAACATTGATGACCCGAAGCTTCAAGATTTTCTTCAGGTCATGCAACCTCGGGCAAAGTCTAAGATGTGGGCAAATGATACTTCAGTTGTATCCAATGATGGCAACAACCAAGCACCATTGAATAAGAAGACCAAAGGTACATCAGTTGCAAGCATTCCTATCGTAAGTGTCTCACAAGTAGATGGATTACCAAATAATCCTGAATCCGACAAGTCACACGAGCTTAAGCATGATAAAGTGATTTCTGATATGGATTATTTCAAGAGTAAAGTGACAACGGAGTGGTCTGATTCTGGAAGCAGTGATGATGAAAACGACGACAGCAACAGCGGTTTGGCATCTTCTGACGACGATGACAAAGATAACCACATACATGCTAGCAAGCGTGAAGAAAATTGTGGTAATAAACTTTCTGAGAGAACCCCAAAAAGTGATGATCAACAGTTAGATTTAGAGGGCCAAGAAGATACTTCTAGAGAGGATGTTGCCAATGATAAGTCTCATGTGAATCCAACCGAGGAAGAGGGGCAGTTATCAAATCCAGAAGATAAGAAAGGAGTTTCTGAGTCATGTCGGCTGTTTGTCCGTAATCTGCCATATACGACCAGGTACTTTCTCAAATTATCTTATGGATGCATGTTTAATATTGTTTTGCTACCTTTCCAATTATTATTTTTCTACCAAATGAATGTCTTCTGCAAGTTAATTTTCTACATTACTATGTATATATTTTTAATTAGTTGTCATATTATTGTTATTCTATTGCAGTGAGGAGGAACTGGAAGAGCATTTCAGTCAGTTTGGTAGTGTCTCACAGGTTCATTTAGTTGTTGATAAGGAGACAAAACGATCCAAAGGAATAGCTTATATTCATTTTTCAGTTCCAGAGTTTGCAGCCAGGTAACAACTAGATGGATAGAAATTGCTGCTTTACCTTCATTCATAGTACCAACTATTGTAGAATTGTAAAAAAATTTCTTTTAGTTCATGGTTGTGCAGTATAATTTGTAAGGTAATGCTTTTAAAGCATTGAGTCATTATTTTCTGAAAGAATCTTCAGATTGCATATGTAGGAATATATAGAATATTTTTCCCTTAAAAAGGCTTGATATCAAGGGGGGAAGAACCAAACCACTTTAATACTCCACCAAGCATATTGCCAAGCATATTGCTCAATGTGAGAGTGAGATTTAGGTTATGCAATCCATAATACTCACGTCCTTATCAAAAACTTACCCACAGCCACATCCATGAGGAGGTGGAGTTACTTCTTAGATGTTTATGGTTAATTTAGGGTGTTTCTTTTCAATTTGGAACCATTTATACTTGTTAAGATTTTGTGGATACCGGAGAATTGAGGGCCAAAGACTTTATGATGCTGTTTCATCTATGCTTCTTCTGTCTTGTATTTGGCCTTTGTGAATTGTTCATGTTTTCATGTATTCTTCTCCTTTTAATGTTCATCCATTGTCTATTTAAGTGTGTATCAGCAGATATGTGATGGATTGGGTTTCTTTTTGTCTCCTCTATATTTCTATTATTAAGGAGGGTATTCCATGGGTGGCTTATTTGTGTTCTCGTTTCTTTCAAACAATACTTTTAACTAGATAAAGTAGTATATTTTGTACTTTAATGATCAAAATCTGTATTTTCCACTTAGGCCGTGTCCTGGAAAATAATAGGTGTTTACTGTATTAGTATTACTATATTGGTTTGAATTATAGAAAAAGTTCTAAAACATTCTAAGAACCCTCTTAAAATTTTTATGAAATGTTTTTTTGCAATAAATCAAAGTAGGTTGAAATTGCATATTCCCATGCCAATTGAATTGTATTTGTAGCTACAACATCACTAAACTTCAGATCACTGCCATGTCTTCTAACACTAATCATTTTTCTAAACTCTAGCTGGTACTTGTCCTCCGGTTGTAATTTATGCAATTGTATGGTAAATGTTTATCAGGGCATTAGAAGAGTCAGACAATTCAATCTTCCAAGGGAGATTATTGCATGTTATGCCAGCTATACCAAGACATTCCAACAATGAAGAGTAAGGCATAATATTGCATCTTCAACAATGTTAAGCATTATCATGTATTGTCATTTTATGGTTTACTTGTTGTAGGAACAAGGACCAAGACTCTAAAACTCTCAAACAACGAAGAGAGGAAGAGAGGAAAGCAGCTGAGGCTAGTGGAGATACCAGAGCATGGAATAGTCTGTTCATGCGCCCTGATACAGTATGTTTATTTCCCGTTAATGATTTGAAAGCTATTATTTTAATATTTCATCCTTTTCGAGTAGTCAATTTTGCAATAGTACATTGAAGTTATGAACAATGCTTTTTTTTTTGTCTCTATTTTCTGTTGAGAATCACAACTTGTGGTTTGTTTTCAACTCTTCGCAATTTTTTTAGCCTTTTATGTTTGTGCTTCACTAGTTTAGAAGAAGGCATTTCAATGAGTTTTGTTGCAGTTATGTTTTACATTTGTTTTCAGTATGTACGTTTGTAATAAGAATAAATAGGAAGAGGGGCCACGTTGAAGGGATTATTGGGAAGTTGTTGAGTGGTTAGTGGTAGAGACCCATCACTCAAACATTTTGGAAGGGAGTCTTAAAAATTGTGATTGGGCCTAACTCAACCTTACAAAACCGGCTTGTAAGGTGAGGATTGCTCCCACTTATAAACATATTTGCAGACTGTATATTGTCCAGTGCAGGACTCTTAACACACCTATTCATGCCAAACACTATTGGATTTGGTGCGTGGATATTAATGGTGGGTGGTCTGATAGCGAAAATCTAATAGCAGGTGGTTCAACGGATCTTGAACTGGGTTGTGATACCAGCTTAAGAAATGTGGTTAGACCTAACCCAACCTTACAAAACCGGCTTGTAACGTGAGGATTACCCCCACTCATATACATGTTCAGCCCGTGTATTGTCCAATGTGGGACTTTTAACGGGGAGAGATCCAAGACTCTCGATTTCTTTGGAGGAACCGAGCTGGTCCTTGTCTTTCTGTTTCTGTGCTATAAGTTGTAATTGTGAATTGTAGCTCTGTTCCAGAGTAGTTGTTGAATTTATATGCAAAATATCGTCCCACAATTTTCCTGTTTTGGACCTGTTATATCAAATTGTTATTGTAATCTCACAAATCATAATGGTGCCCTGCTAATGGATATTTCATTAAGGTTGCTATATCTAACTGCATAGAGATTGGGCATGTCAGCTGTTTTTTTAAGAGCATTTAGGTGCATTTAATTTGCTAAAAAATGGAAAACTGAAAAACACAAAACTACTTCTTCCATGTTTGATATGAAGAATGGGTTGTCTAACAACGTGAAACTTGAAGGGTGGACAGTTCTTAAATATCTTTCTCACAATTTATCCATGGGACAACTTTTTGTCCCACTCACAACAACATCAATAATTAGTGAAATGCCCAACCTTTTCCTTTTATCCTCAATTGCCATTTCCTATTAGCATCCTTTCCTCTCTCAATGTACCTTCTCAATTGTTTCTTCCCCTTACGTCCCTCAAAACTACTTTTGTGTTGTGCATTGATCACCTAACAGAAATAGAGCAAGAAGTTGTGTTGTAATTCAATTACTTATACTTCTGTTTGTCCAGTCCTGCAAAGCGGCTTAAACACTCCCTGTGTCAACTGTTTTTTTTGGAAGGTTACGTATTTTCCTTTCAGTTGTTTATTCTTCTTGCTGTTTTTCCTTTGCTACAAAAAGTATATAGTGTTATTAAGTTTTGTTTTCATATGTGAAAAATATAATTTCTTATTTTCGGGATATGGGTTGTGCAAGAAATTGTTAGAAGCCCAGAATTAGACTGAAAAGAAATAACACTTTTATTTAGAAAACATCACTGTCCTGTCAATTTTAAATGTTTAGTGATACTGTATTGCTAGCATCAGTCAGGTTGCTTGTTCTTATAAATTTCTTTATATTTTAAATATGTGTCGATGTTAATAGGTTGTAGAAAACATTGCTCGGAAATATGGTGTTAGTAAAAGTGATTTAATGGATCGAGAAGCCGATGATCTTGCTGTACGTATTGCTCTGGGAGAAACTCAAATAATTTCAGAAACAAAAAATGCATTTAAAAAAGCTGGAGTGAATGTGGAGTCCTTGGAAGAACTTACGAAGGGTAAAGTTGAAGGCCTGAAAAGAAGTAACCATGTACTTTTAGCAAAAAATTTGCCCTATGGTTCTACAGAAGATGAACTTGCAAAGATGTTTGGGAAATTTGGTAGCTTGGATAAAATAATTCTCCCCTCGACAAAAACATTGGCCCTGGTATTTTTTCCTATCCTCGAGTTCTTTCGATTGTATTTATTATTTCTGAATATGTGGTTGTCGAACAGTCTCGTGTCCTAATATCCAAAGAAAAACAAATAACAGTCTTGTGCAGGAAGTTTTCCCTTTTTTAATTTTAAATACCATATTAGCTCACCATTATTGCTTTATTTGTAGTTTATTTAGTAACAATACATATTATGGACCTTTGGGTTCTACATACTCTCATTTGCTGTAGATGGGTAATATACTGTATTATGGGAACTTTTTATTTTGAAATATGTATTATGAAAACTTTAATATACTTGGGCATTTTGTTGCGTATTAGTTTAATTGATTGATGGAGCTTGTCTTCTGCAGTGAGGCATTTTTAAAGTTATTGCTTTTGTTGTTACCTGTTAATTGTTCAATGAACAGGTAACACTAAACTCTTATTGTTCAAGCTTTGAATTGTTTGGAGATGATATTTCAGGTTGTCTTCCTTGAACCAGCAGAAGCTAAAGCTGCTTTTAAAGGTTTAGCTTACAAGCGTTACAAGTAAGATTTTTTGTTTCTTTTGGTCAAGTCCCATGCAGCATGTTAACTGTTAAGTAACGTTTTATATTTTATTAGCTTCTATCAATCGACAATCAGGCATTTAAGTTATCCTCAATGGATGAATTTATTGTTTCTTCGTCTGTTGAATATGCGTTATATTTCATAAGAGAAATTAGGATCCTTGCAATACGTATGATGCTGGTCTGAGTTGTACAAAGATTGATGTCTCTGGCTATGCTTCTGTGTTATTTTAAAAAGAAAATGATAAATTAGAAAAAATAGTTTCGTCAAAAATCTGCCTTACACACAAAAGGGGGGGAGTGCTTGGGATATAGTGATGCAAATACAGCATCATAAAATGCAGAAAAGATGAAATTAACAGGCAAAATGAGAAAAATTTTGTTACTCATGTAATTCAAAGGTTACTATAGAAGGACGATTCTGCTGTCCACAGAGCTAAGCTGCTTCAGAGAACCAATGCTCTCTGCCTAGCTAACTCAATGATTCCACTTAGTACCATTCTCTCTCCCCTCAGAATCCTTATAACTGAATTCTCGTACACACTTTGCTTTCCGTTTCCCCCTGTTACTCTCTACCATGTGGATATTCCCATTTTGTCCCTTTCAATTTCTCTAAACACAATGTCTCCAGAATACGTGCTTAGGCAACCGATGTGGTAATTTTCCCTTCGAGCCCCGACCTTCTCATGTGGGATCCTATCATATAAAGTGTAGAATAATCCAGAACGAAGCCTGGAACTTCATCGTTTTAGTTCTATTTCTGTAGTAATTGGACCAAAGCCTGTATTTCGTTAGTTGGGAAGGATTAACACTTTGAAATGCTTTACAACCATATTTCATTCCTCCTCCTCACTTTAGATGATAGAATAATCTTATGCAAAGCAGCCAACCCCCCTCCCCTCTGCTCAGTATAGGAATCCTATACTTTTAGTCAGTGAAGGTTATTGACTTGCTCTGTGTTCTACTTAATTAATATAGGGATGCTCCCTTATACTTGGAATGGGCTCCTTCCGACATTCTTATCCCAAAATCAACATCTGAAACTAATGAGGTGAATGGTGGCATTGGTGAAAAGGATGTCAAGCGACTGATACTAGAGCAAGACGTGGAAAGAATATCAGATATGGATATTGATCCGGACAGAGTAGAGGTTTGACCTACTAAATTTTTTCCCCCTTTCATTCATTTGCTCTAGTTTTGTGTCGTATAGTTTGTTTTGATGCTTTAGTCTTTTGCAAAAGTTGATGGAAAATAGAAGAAGAGAAAAATGCAAGGTCAATGGATAAAAGTAGGATAGAAATGCATAGACCAAGTTTTACATGCAATGCAAGTGACAATAAAAACTGATACACATGATATATTAATTTTACTTTTTAGGTTGAATTACTTTATTGATCACTGAACTCCATATTTTTATATAGATCCCTAAACCAAAGTTGTTTTGGATCGGATCTTTGAATTTGTCAATAATTTATAGATATTTCTTCTTAAAATTTTTGGTTGGGTTCCTAAATTTTTAAATAATCTTTAATTAGGTCTCGGAGTCTAGGTATTTAGTTACAAGTTATTTAAAAGTTCAAGAATCTAATTATGAATTACTTAAAAGTTTAGGTACTCGTTTTCTTTTTTAGTTTCAAGGATTTCGTTACAAAATATTGACAAGTTTAAGTACCCAAATATATTTTTTCAGCTTAGGGGCCTATTTAAAAAATAATCAAATTGTTCAAGAACCTCCAGATTTATTAAATTACTTTTTGTTACCTGTCATAGTCCTTTTTCTCACTCTTCTATTTTCGTCCTCTACAGATTACTTTATAATTCTGTCTATACTTATTTTGAAATTGTGTAACTTGCTAAATAATCCATAATTGTTTCTCTTCTATCATTTGATTAATCTATCATGTTTCAGGCTCGGTCTCTATTTGTCAAGAACCTAAATTTCAAGACAACAGATGAGAGTTTGAAGAAACATTTCAGTGAAAACATGAAAGAGGGGCGGATTTTGAGTGTCAAGGTAAATGGGCCTAAGTATTAAGTAACACATTTTACTTCTATGACTTGACTGTTCTTCATTATTTTTTTGTTTCTCTGATTTCATAAATAGGTGAAGAAGCATTTAAAAAATGGGAAAAATGTTTCTATGGGGTTTGGATTTGTTGAATTTGACTCCGCAGAGACTGCCACGAGTGTTCGTAGCAATTTGCAGGTATTTAAACACTAGAATGAATTGATGTATGTTATATGCATTTGAAATCCTTGTTATAGTTATGGTTGTTTTACAAAAAGCATATTTTAAATTATTGTTATGGTTTGGATATAGGGGACTGTTTTGGACAGTCATGCTCTTAATTTACAACCTTGTCATGTCAAAGATGGTGGTAAAGTACCAAAGAAAGTTGAGAAAGACAAGAGTTCAACTAAGTTGCTTGTGAAAAATGTTGCTTTTGAGGCAACCGAGAAGGATCTGAGACAATTGTTTAGCCCGTTTGGCCAGGTGATTATTATTAAAAATGATAATTTGGTCCAGTGATTAGGAAATATTCATTCTTTCACACATAATACATACATTTAGCTGTTTGCTGCTGCAAGTATTCAATTTTCCCCTTTCACTCATGTTTGATTTCTCAAAACCGTGCAGATTAAAAGCTTAAGATTGCCAATGAAGTTTGGAAATCATAGAGGCTTTGCTTTTGTGGAGTATGTTACTCAGCAGGAGGCGCAAAATGCTCTTACAGCACTCTCAAGCACTCACTTGTATGGAAGACATCTGGTAAGTGAAACTAGTTAAGGATTCAAGAAATTCTATTTAGTGAATCCCATACACCGCCCCTTTTTAGGTGGTGTCGATAGTTTCAAATTAGATTGCAAATAGTTGAGAAACAATGGTCATTATTATTTTCAGGTGATAGAGAGAGCGAAAGAAGGTGAGAGTTTGGAGGAACTACGAGCTCGAACTGCTGCTCAATTTAATGAACACAGTGGATTTCAAGATGCTAATTCATCCAAGAAAAGGAAGGCCTTTAGCATGCTAGATGAAGAAAATATGAAGTTTCAAAGGTTTGATTAGTACTCTGCTCAAGAATTTAACGTTTGTGTATATATCCCAAAGTTCAGGGATATTAATTTTGTAGGTAATAACTTCTATTAAATTGTTTAATTACCATGTTCAAATGATGCAGCAATATGATATAATCATAGTTATTGAGATTGCCTTACTGTATGGTTGAAGTCACAATTTTTAGGATTTAATTTATTTGATTTATAATAAAATGGGATTTTCGTTTATAAAGTTTCAAGACAGCTGTTAGTGCAAAATTGCTACTGGTGATTACTAGCTATACTTAAAGGGCTAATCAATTGTTTAAAGGAACCTAGGCATAATGAAAAATATATCTTGAATTATTTTAAAACCAATTAGCTAAAATGAATACATAATTATTCAATTCATATTGAACATAAATTCAGTAATAAATAAATCTAGCAATATTCATGGAAGCATTGTTTGTAACTACTGATAATGACTGTGTATATTAGAGTAAGCAGTAGCACAAGCTAAATAACAATACTTTAGGAACCACAAACAATAACTATAACCTTAAACCTGTGCTAAAGAACAATACTTTACTTACCACAAACAATAACTATAACGTTGAACCTTTCTTCTTTTCGACATACTGTAACATTAAGATGAAAAACTAAAAACAAGTAAACAAGCTCATATGATAATAGTAACTGTACTATGCATCAGAACTAATGCAAGCTCGAGAATCAGATTGGGCCACCACAGGAGTAAGTGATTTCACAGTCATCACCAATGGTAAGTGTGTAGAGATGCACTGGTCTAACCAGGAATGGTGGCAAACGAACAAGAAGTTCACAAACACATTGGCTGTCCACTTCCCTAGCCCACCGGCAACAATTTTCTTCGTCTTGGGTCTGGTGATGCCTATGTCTGTGTCCATGTCTGCGACCGTGTCCATGTCCATGTCCATTGTCGTGGTTGTGGTTTCTGTGTCCCTCGTCATTGCCAACATCATCGTCACCATCATCATCATCAGGCGACGGAGGTGCTGGTGGAGGCCCAGGTGGTGCCCCCGGTCTGAACGGTAACCTTCCACATGCGTAGTTTACTAGTGCAAACTGAGAAGAACAAAGTGGGCGTGGATTTGTTAGTGCAATATGTCTTACTTCACCCTCACACTCAGTCTTTGGCACTATGGCCAACAATGTTAGAGCCGTTGCTAATAGGTTGAAAATCTCAACTCTCTTCATTTTGGAATTCTCAACTCTAATACATCAGATATTACAAAAGTTTATGCTCATATATCTACTCTTTGAAATGCTATTCATATATATTCTTGCAAATTTATAGGGATATGGATAGGTTGTTTTTCTTGTGAGTTGTAATTACAAAATGTAGTTTACCAAGAGTATGAGTTGAAATCACGCTTGTTCAAAAACCTCATTCATTTTGTGTGATGATACTTTGTAGGTGACATGCAAATTATTCTAGCTGAGTGTCTATGGTCCACCAACCTTGTTTTCTAACAATTTTTTAATTTAATTAGTCTTGCATTGGTGGGAGGAGTGTAGTTTAGTGCATGCTTAACTTGTGAAGGAGAGACACACTTTTCTAGTTTTCTTGACAAAAATTTATATTATATATTAGCAAGTGAGGAAAACAAATATCTTAACGGTTTCTTCTAGAAAGGAATTTCGATGTCTTCAAAAGTATATTCTAATCTCTCCTGAACTCATTATTATTTGAGAATTTCTTTTTTCACCTCAATATTCATGGTGAAAATTTAAAAATATTTATAAAGTTCGGAGATGTATTTTTAAGTGTATATATTTTCCATAATTGAACGTAAAAAGTGAGTCATCCCTATTATATTTAATTTTAGTCAGGATTTATATTTTAGAGATGTATATCTGAAAATAATATTGATACTTTAAAACAGAAACATAGACAGTATGGGCAAGAATTAGAAAACACAACAACTTGGTATTAAATTAAAATACTCAACATTATATATATATATATATATATATATATATATATATATATATATATATATATATATATATATATATATATATATATATATATATATATATATATATATATATATATATATATATATATATATATATATATATATATATATATATATATATATAACATTACATATCGTTATAAATGGATAGTTGAGGAAATTGTGACATATGTATTTTCAATGGATCTTGCAATCTTGACATCCACTCAAGTCAGATTCATTAATGAAGAACGACACATAACCTTTAAATCTCCATCCGCCTTTAATTTAAAGTTGATGAACCATATTTTCTTTTCGTTGTCAAACGAGGGTGAACAATACTTGACATTGATAACTGTTCAATGAAAAAAACTTTATATATCAAGACTCTTTTTGAAGACACATGTTTAGATACATCCTTTTTTTTAATGAAAAAATAGTGTTGACTGATATGCACATCCGTAAAATGTTTTGTAGTATTTTTTTTAAGTATATATATATATATATATATATTATTTTAAAATTTAGTATGGAATGCAAGGTGATGGTATATTTAGTTTCTCATTTGACATTTTGGGATATGCAAATGCATATTTGAATATGTGATTGAATGGATAAATAAACCGGTTCAAGAAAAACGTGTAATAAATAAGTTAAGAGGTTTTCGAAGACGTATCAACTGATCAAATTTTAGCAAAAATGAAATGATTTTTGATTTACGAAAGATATAGTAATTTAAGGTGTGTCTGAAAATGTGCGAGTAATTTTATTATACATCCCTATTCCCGTCATGATCATTGACTCTAGATTCATTATCTACTTATGAAGACAATAGTCAAGCAGAAAATATAATGATTAGGATGCATCAGAGAAAAGATTTCCAAGATTTCATATAACAATTATCTCACAGACCCCTTCGATTAGAAGCTAATTTAGTAGCAAAGCTTGTTGAATAACTAGAACTTTCATTACCAACTAGTAAATATAGGTAAAAACCTGGTGTTTGACGTATCGAGCTAATTACTATGACTAGCCTTATAAACAGGGACGCCGTTGCCTACTGCTTTGGAAGGTTTCATGTCCTCTTTATAGCTCAGCCTTGCATTTAAATCCTTATTTATAACAGTTTGCTATTTATATATGAGCTTAAGGCAGGAAATTAGTTTAAGCTTTTCAATGATGGTATGGTCACAGGGAAGGCGGAATGAACAATAGAAGTTATATTACAGCATAATAAGATAAGGAAGTGATGACAGGTACAACATTATAGTGAATTAATAACAGTGAACTGATAACGCAGACGCCGCTGCTGTTAAAGCACGATATGACGGTTTCGATAGTAATCACATTTCAAGTGGATTTAGATACATTCATGGTTTCTAGCCCCAACAGCCCCAACAACATCAACTCGGCATTTCAAGTGATACACGAAGAAACCGACCTCGCTATAAAATCAGCGTCAACCATCAAGGTTAAGTTTTTAGTTATGAAAATTGACGGACTAACGTGGATTCTTATTAATTAATTTTGCTATTTTTTTTTAATTAACTTGATTATTCGGTTTAGTTGGATAATTTTGATAATTAATTTTAATTAGCCTAATTAATTGATTAATCGAATTTTAATTATTTAATTATATTAATCAATTTTAATTAACTTAATTATTTGATTTAGTCGAATAATTTTGATAATTAATTCAGATTAATTTAATTAAGTGATTTAATAAATTTTTTTCATTTTCGGCTTTGATAAATGAAGTGGGTCAAGACCGAAAGATTCTTAAACTCAAATCCACGTCGATTGTGCCACTAAAAGTTCTTACGCCTTAGATGATTTTCGCAGCGCTACAACACGCACTTATTCAAGTAAGATCGATTTATCCGTTTCATTATATTCTATTCCCTTTTATCTTAATTGTTTTTAATACTTTAAACCTTTTTTAAAAATAAATTCTCGATTTATCGAGTCATTTTCTACCCTTGTAAGTCGAGTGCTTTTAAAGCCTCGCCATCAACCTTTTGGTCACAGACACAACATTTAGAGCTTACTCCTGGGCTTCCTTACAGTGAGACCTATTTGATCAATTATTTCTAGTTGATCATTTAGAAGACTAGCCCACTTTGCTAGTATACACGTTTAAAACTAAATTCAAACATTGATTCACATCAAGCATTTTCTCCAAATCAAATTAAAACACTTAATAACTACTCAAATACAATTTCAATAAAAGATGAAAAAGAGAGAGCTCCAAGTCTTTGGTTCACTCTCCCAATTGTTTAGGTCCGAGAAGTCTTTCATAAGCTCGAACAATTGTCTTCTAAAAACGATAAACGAATTCAAATTTATTTTCCTAAACACGTAGATGAAAAAGAGAGAGCTCCAAGTCTTTGGTTCACTCTCCCGATTACTTGGGTCCGAGAAGTCTTTCTTAAGCTTCGAGTAATCGTCATCCGATTAAAACACTCTAATTATATCAAACATCTTTCATAATATTAGATGAGAAAGAGAGAGAGAGAGTCAAGTCTTTGACTCATTCTCGATTACTTAAAGTCCGAGAAATCTTTCTTAAGCTTTGAGTAATCCTCATCCGTTAAAATACTTTAACCACATCTCATCGTTCAAAGCCTCCCAAACATAACCACTCTTTGGGATGAAAAAGATAGAGCTCCAAGTCTTTGGTTCACTCTCCTGATTACTTGGGTCCGATAAGTCTTTCTTAAACTTCAAGTAATCGTCATCCGATTAACCCACTCGAACCATATCCAACTCTTTCACCATTAAGATGAAAAAGAGAGAGCTCCAAGTCTTTGGTTCACTCTCCCGATTACTTGGGTTCGAGAAGTCTTTCTTAAACTTCAGGTAATCGTCACCTCTAGCTAAACATCCAATACATCTAACCAATCTAATTCCTCGCCCCCGTGCGACCAAAACCCTTAACCTATTCAAATATACCTTCTTTTCCAAATCAAATACTTAACCAATCAAACACTAATTCTTCGCCCCCGTGTGATCCACAATTCAAACACCTTTCTCCAAAGAACATTGTTTAGTCCATTCTTCCGCGCATAACAAACTCGTGCTTCAGCCTCCCCTAGTGAGCAAACAAGCCAATGTTTAGCAGTTAGAATGCAACCTAAACTCTCGTTCATTCCAAACACAAATCTTATACCGTAGTTGGCCGAACTACGGATGCTCTGATTTCTCACATCCGTTGAGAATACGTAGGCATATGATTACGATGATCCTAGCGAGCACTTTTCCTTCTTTCCCACCTTTAGGTTCCCGTACCTTTTACCAAAGAACATTGTTTAGTCCTTCATCCGTGTATAACAAACTAGTGCTTCAGCCTCCCCTAGTGAGCAGACAAGCCAACGTTTAGCAGTTAGAATGTGACCTAAACACTCGTTCACATACCAAACCTTTTTACCGTAGTTGGCCGAACTACGGCTGCTTTGATTCTTCATTCTCTTTCGAATGTAAGATACGTAGGCACAAGATTGCGATGATCTTGGTGAGCACAATCCCCTCTTTTCCCCGTAGTCCCACGAACTACGAATGCTATGATTTTCCACTTCTTACAAGTGAAGATACGTAGGCACAAGGGCCCCAATCCTTGGCGAGCACCCTATCTTAAAACCACCCATTTCCTCTTTAGCAAGCAATTCTTTAGAAGATAAACAAGCGTAGTTAACTCTCTCTCATAAATTGAATCAAGAGGTTCCCGTTGAGTACAACGGACATGAGGGGTGCTAATACCTTCCCCTCATGTAATCGACTCCCGAACCTAGAATATTGATTGCGATGGCCATGTTCTTATCTCCTTAAAGGTTTTATAGATATTTTCCTATTCCATCCTTGGAATGAATAAAGTTCGGTGGCGACTCTGTTTCAAACGTATTTTCCGCGTCCATCGCAAGGATCGTATTTTTCGAGGTACGACACTACGCATGCTTGCTTCTTGCATGCCCATGAGACTAGTGCATTTCCCAAGATGTGACATGTTCCACTTGTGCTCTTTCTATCATTTTTACAGCCTGCATAATCTGCGTCAGAATATCCAATTAAATTGCATATACTACCTTTAGGATACCATAAGCCGACATTTGTTGTTCCTTTGAGATACTCATGATCCGCTTGACTGCCATCAGGTGAGACTCCTTTGGATTTGCTTGAAAGCGAGCGCAAAGACAGACGCTAAACATAATGTCAGAGCGACTTGCTGTCAAGTATAGTAAG